TACAAATCAGTGCTATCAAGGCCAAATTCTGCCAGACTGCATTGAAAGATACCATGGTTTGTCTACTTTTATGGTGGTAAAAACAGATTCTATAGCCTTTAAGACTATGAGATGAAAAATATTAAGCTAAATTTGAATTGGTTAGAAGAAAAAACAAGAGATGTACTATGAAAGCTAGAGCTACATATATATTGTGAGTTCCTGTCAAAGCTGCCCAATTGTTTTATTTGGCACTAATCTGTTTGAAATAGAACTTGATTCTTAAGTATTTCATGTGATTTGTTTCAAAGACAACAGCTGAATCAAAAGGCTTGACAACTGTTTTCTGGCCCAGGACATCACTATAGCAATCAAAGTAATTTAAGTATCATATCCCAGATGAAGTACCTACTGAAAGGGATTCAAATTATAAATAAAAACAGTGGGAGCTGTGAGGCCACCATATTATCAATAACTTTGGCTCAACATAAAATATTTGAGATTAGACTATAGTTACATAGATTCTTCAACATAATAGAGGGTTTATTTAAGTTAAGATTTTATTACTGCCTTCTTTAAGCAGGTGGAAATACATCCTGTGCCCCAAAGATCAATGCTCACCTCCCTTATTTATTTATTTATTTATTTGTTTGTTTGTTTGTTTGTTTGTTCAACTTGTATGCTGCCTTTCTCCGAAGACTCAAAGTGGAAACCAAAGGGCCAATCCAACTTGGTTAATCTATCAGCTAGGAGGAAAGTTTAAGGACTGAGTAAGCAGGTATTGGCTCTTATCTCTCTATATATCCTGTTCATATCCCCAAGATCTTACAAGATGAAAATAATCCATATGAACCATTACCAAGCTTACCTCCTATGACCTGTCCAAACACTGGAGTCCAAGTCAAGGCAACTCCGATCGACTTTTGTCTGCAAAGAACAATGAAAACTGCTCACAGCGAGCCTCCGACTGTTCAGGCTCCCCGACCTAACATCTAGATGGAGGAGATGCCATACAGTACGGAGAAGCATTGCTGGTTTGTTCTGTGCAGATGCAATGGAGGCATCCCTTGAAGTAATCCCTCTTTACTGCATCTACTACCACAGAGTAAGATTTTAGATGGGCTTTAAAATACACACCATTCTGTACTTGGTCTGACTCATCACAAGAATTCCTCATTTCTACTTCAATCTTCTGTGTATTTGCTTCATTGCTCTCAACTCTCTAATAAGCCAAAGTGACAATTTAGCTCTGTTAGAGGGAACAAGACTTAGAATGGATAATGTCAGCCACGTAGGCAGTCTCCATGTTCTTTGATTAGCCAGGATTTCAACATTATTATGAAGAAATGAAGTGAGAAATTCCTTGTGTGCATTCTAGAAGTCATTGGATTCATCAGGCCGCTGGGTCAGAGCATTTTAACTTTCTATCCCTACAGAGATTTTATAACTGCCAATCTAACAGTATTCCTATATCCTGGCCACAAGTTCAGAAACTAACAATCTGATTTCACATATTGTTGGATGCAGTGGTTGGTCAGTGACCTTGAACTTCTATAGACTTTAAAATCTATGTCTCTTGGTATAACAATTCCAAGGACATTTATTGTTTGCAGGGGAGTTTTGGTTTGTTTAAGTTGTAAACTTCTAGCACTAGGTAATAATTAAGACTAATTTAACCAATTAATCAGTAGTCGAGATTGGCTTAACTGATTTAACAACTAATTCAAACAAATTCTACATAAATGTATAATTCAAAATCTGGAAACTAATCAAACAATAGTCATAAAGGAAAATTTTATTCATCTTGCTAACAATCCTATCCATTAATGAAATAAGATTTTGCTGAACTCTTTTTGGATTTATATCATTAAAGAGTCAAACTATGGCAGAATGAACCTGTTCCATAGGCAATATGATGGCTTCTTTTAAAATACATAGGCTCAATTTTAACAATATGCTCAATAATCTAAGGATCACCTAAAATTATGTAGTTGTTGGCTTGTAAGAATACCTGACATGGCTATATCTATAGTATTATTTCTGTAACATATATTTCTCTTTTGGCATATATGTAATCAGATCATCAGTCAAGATAAAACAGTTTTAACACATAATTGGAATGTGAAAAATTACAAAGGAATCACATCCATCTGCATCCTATATGAAATTATTCACCCAATCTAGACTAAGACGGAGTAGTTTAACCTGAAGCAATTTAGATTTTACCGCTTTTTAAAAAAAGATCTACTTGCTATAACTATTCAATTGCTGGGAGTCAGTTTTGTGTGGTAGTTAAGGTATCAGGCTAGAAACTGGGAGACTATGTCCCATCTTGGGCATGTAGCCAGCTGGGTAACCTTGGGTCAGTCACTTTCTTTCAGTCCTAGGAAGGAGGCAATTGCAAAACACTTCTGAAAAACCTGACCAGGAAAACTGCAAGTCCACAGTTCCTCAAAATCAGATATGATTAAACAGAAGGAAAAAAAAGGTTCCAATTGCCTGTGTGCATATTTCTATAGCTCACAATTCTGTCTCAGGCTGTAACATATAAATAAATATTGAAGTAAAACACCACAGAACACTCCAAAAATCTTCTTTAAGAAACCTGTTCTGTAAATGTTTCTTCGAACATTCCACTACTATAAAAGATGTGACAAAGACATTTACGCATATAGGGAAACTTTCCAAAAGCTGGATCAAAATTGTTAAGAGAACATTTCTATATACTGATTGGGGGTGCTCATAAAGATTTATGGGACGCAGCACTCTGGATGCATTTCAAAACAATCCCAGAAATGTCTGCTTTAAGTAGCTGCAGCCAGTTCCTATATTTGTACTCCTGTATTTGAATCTGAAGCACTGTAGAGCCCTAATTATTTATAATTAGAATGTATTCCAAGATCTTTTAGCCGAGATCTAAATGTATTAGGGCCTTTACTATGTACCTTTTTCTTGTGATGTCCTGCTGTTACAATGACCTTTTCGAAAGCTATTATTACTATGTTTCAGAAGAGTTATTCGATCAAAATATTAAGCTACTCAACGTGCTACCAGGTCTTAGAAAAGGATTGTTTCTTCAGTAAACTGATATTGAACACCCTTGCTTTCTTAAACATAGAGGTCCAGCTGCACAATATACTCTTTCATAATAACAATATATAGCTAAAGCTGGGATGGGAATCAGGAAAAGAATCACAGGGAATGTAAGACTTGACAACATTATTTATGTGAGCTATTCCTGCTGTTATACATTTAACCAATTCTTTTACTAAACAAATCATCTGATTATGAATCTGTAACTAGAAGACAGCACTTTCCATTTAGGAATCTATAATTCAAAAACAGGCAATATGATGGCCAAATTTATTTTCACACTATCTTTATTTCTAGGAATGCCTCTCTGTACCATATTTGACCTTCAGTCATTAGAAAATAAAAATAATGGATGCTAATAGCCCTGACTTTGGAAGGGAAAGAACGAAAAATCCAGCAGTGGGGTGACAGGGAACAGAATCATCAGTTTGCTTTTGTTGTGACTTGTCATACCGTATTTTTCGGAGTATAAGATGCAGCGGAGTATAAGACGCAGCTTAGTTTTTGGGGAGAAAAATAGGGGGGGGGGGAATCTGCCTACCAGGTATTCATTTGGCTAGTGTCCTTAGTCTGGTCAACTTCAGCACATTAGTTTGCTGGTTTTTTATCCCCTGCTTGGGGATAAAAAACAGCTTCTAAGGCACAGCTGAGAGGAAGCAGCAATGAGAAAAGCAAGCAAAGCACAGGGGGAGATTGGTTCACTTGGCTAGCACCTAGCTGGGGCTGAAAAAAAGCTTTTAAAGAACAGCTGAGAGTTGGAGCAAAGCATGGAGATCGCTTCACTTGCTAGCACCTCATTAAAACACAGAGTCGAGGGAGCAGGCAAAGCTGGGAAGATCGCTCGCTAGTACCTCGTTAGTGCCACGTTAGGGCTGAAAAAAAAAAGCTTTGAAAAAGCTACATTTGGAGTATAAGACGCACCCAAATTTTCAGCCTCTTTTAGGGGGGAAAAGATGCGTCTTATACTCCGAAAAATAAGGTAATTATCATGATAATGTTAAATAGTTAAAACTTCCTAATATGATTTCAAATTTATAAGAATGCAATTGGCTCAAAACATTACTGACTTCTGATATAATTAAACATCTAAATGTAAGTTTAGTCATATTTAGAATTTTTACACACGATTATCACTAAACTGACATTGTAACACAGTTACAATAGCACAGAGCTATTTACAGGTATAAATGTTAACTTAAAACATACTTGCTTACAATCACACCTAATACACAGACCCTGGTATTTTTGCTTTCAGCAATCTACTTTAGAATACTACCAAGAAAAGCAAAAAGTTGTATTTCAATAATCTCATGTTAAACCCAAAAACAATATTATTCATTAGAAATTTCTCATACTGACAATCTATTTATTGTAAGGAATAGATGCAAGGCGTTTCCACTGATTTCATACAAATTTGTGTTAAAATATCTACCAGTTGTCCACTTCCAGTCCACTTCTAAACATTTACAAAACCAAACCAAACCATCTGATTACTAGACAATTTTGTTTCTTCAGCTTGATTTTTCCTTAAACAATTTCCCCCATTAATTATGTGGTAAACAGTACAATTGGATAATACTTTTTAGTCTTCAATATGTTGCAGTTAATATTATCTTACTTATACATCCTCTTTTCCATTCTTTCTTACCAACACTACCCATATTTAACTGAAAATTTGACTTCTTTGACTTTATCCACAGGGTTGTTATCTTGATGTCTCTTAAGGTTGAACCTTTGCTAACCTACATAAAACAGACTCTTGTATTGCATACAAGGTTAATATTAGTTTCATTTCCATTACCTATCAAGGGAATACAAAAAATTGGAAGCAATAGCTTTTCCAGCACATTGAAAATTACTAAATTCATAGCTGTTATCATTTCCAAATAAAGCTGAGACAAAACGTAACCAATGAACATAAAACTTACATAATCATGAAAGGCTTTAGCTTCACTTGAGTGTTCACATGTTTCACGTCTTTCTGGAGCTGCACAATAGAGATCCCAAAACACACTAAAAATAAAAAAAAATGCCCAATTTGTAACTTATATTTTTTCAGGTATATCCCATCTAGACACATACATTATAGTAATTACTATTTATTACCCTCTTCATACTCTGAAAGCAAAATGTATGTAGCATTCCCATTCTGTTGAAACTACACATACTTAAGAATAATTACAGTGATAGCCTAATTGACTGTTATACAGATAAATATCCTAATACTATAATTTAATTTGTGTTAAAATGAAAACATTCAAGGATCATGCAACTGATAAGCATCTAAATACCAAATAAATCTGGTTTTTTTTTAAAAAAACTTAAAATAACCCCACCAATATTTAATCCAGAATTGTTTAACAGTTGAGATGAGCAATTCGTGTCTAAAAACATTAGAAATTTACTGATTTTTGTTATCATTATATCATTAGAACATCATACAAAATCATAAACAATTTTACATTCTGAAGATCCAGGAGAGATTGTTTTTATATATGGGACTGAAAGGGAGAAGGCAGCATTGACCCGTGATGGCGAACCTCTGGCATGCGTGCCACAGGTGCACACAGAGCCATATTGGTGGGCACATGAATGTTGCCCTAGCTCAGGTCTGTCGCACATGTGCACACTGGCCAGCTGATTTTCGGGCCTTCCGGGCCCACTGGAAGTCGGGAAACAGGCTGTTTCTGGCCTCCGGAGGGCCTCCAGGGGGGTGGGGAAGGCCGTTTTCGCCCTCCCCAGGCTCTTAGAAAGGCTCTGGAGCCTGGGGAGAGCGAAAAATGGGCCAACCGGGCCCACCAGGCCATCGCGTGCCAAAAGTGGGGGGAGTTCAGGGAATGGGGCCCATTGAATTATGGATGTGGGCACGCACATGCACGACCCCCTGTGGTCCCCCCCACTTTTGGCACGCGATGGCAAAAAAGTTAGCCATCACTGAGATAGATTACAGCTAAAAGTCTCTTAAATTAAAAATATTTATTAATTATAAATACTATTATGTCTATTTAAAAATGAGTATCTATCCTAAGCTCGTATTTCTAGCTTTAGTTTCTTTTGCATTAATTGGTAAAATACCCTGTTATTTTTGACTTGAAATTTGCTTCTGGAAATGTCAGACATTTTCTCTGCAGATTCCTTGACAACAATATAGCATTGCTTTCTTCTAAGATTTTTTCCCCAACTTTCTAGTTAGACTACAACACTGGTATCCTCTGATAATCACTTAATTTAGGGACTCCTTCCATCTAATAAAAAAAATAATAATACAACTAACTTAAATCCTTTCCTTATGTAATAAATATTATATGCTTTTGAAAATAATGAATAGTATAGAAATTAAACATATATATAATATTTATTTTTCTGAGTCTGATGTTGAAATCTGGACACTGGTAAATCAGGTTTTGCTCTGAAATCTAGCATCTAAAAACTGGCTAATCTTATTAGGGTTGGGCAAGGAATATTTCCAAAGCAAAGTCTCTTCCGTACATGTTTCACAAATGATTAGCAGCAACTCTAAAGGATGTACAAGTATGAGCAATCTATTACTATGCTACACATTAAAGCATTCTCTCTTTTTTCATGAATCTGAAAAAAATGCAACTGCTTGAAAGAGGGCAATCGTTAAAGTTAAAATTATTCTTAAAGCAGCCACATCATTTTTTATACTGGGATGGAAGCCTGAAAAATTAAAGAAATTGTTTTAATGAATATCATACAAGGACTGTACTTACACTTACATGATAACTGAATAATATCCTCTAAATCATTTCTGATACATGCACAGACCTATTCTTTTCTTCCACAAAGGATTTTCTCATTTGTGTCAGTGGCAGATGTCACACAGAAGGATGTGCATGTATAATCTCCTCCTGCCCTAAAATTAATACTGTTGCTCCTATATACAGAATTCTTCTTTGTACACATACAGGGGTATTGACAGCAACATTCACTGGCTTCAAAATGGTGGAAATAACTGGGCAATCAAAGCCCCTGTCCTTTTTTTTTAAACAAGAGTTATGCACAACGTGTGCATATAAATTAGGTGGGGCTTTAATCACCTGTTCACATTGATCATTTTGAAGCCAGTGATTGGCACTCCAGATGCTCCCAAATATAAAAGAGCTCTGAAGTCAGAAACCTACTTTGTTTCTGACAATAATAATTTACATATATATGTGCTGGCATTTCTGCAGAATCTTAACAAGCAGTTGTCACATCAAACTAGTTTAGGTGTATGTTTGTAGTTCTATGGGAACATCTAAAGGGGAAAAGCATAAGATTTGGAAAATTTGAGTATCAATCCTTCTGAAAGAAAAATGAGCAAGGTTAAACTGAAATAATTGCATAATTAATTTTATCTTTTTGAGGAAATGAAATGACAGTTCAATATTAAATGCGGTTGACACTAGTCTTCCAATTAGTTAGCAAAATTTCTTATTACCTTTGATAAAAATCAGATTTTGTACAAGTATAATACTTTTAACAACTAATACAATCTTTGTAAATTGAAACACTTACCACCACCAAGAGTGCAAGAATCCTGGGGGTTCGCCCAATGTGATGTTTTTTTCCCATCTTATCTAAAATCAATGCAAATGACGATTATTTCTTTAGGCAAGATAGATTCACATGAAAACAAAGATAGCATTTAGCTAAAATGAATTCAAAGATGGCTCTTTTAAAATCAACACAGATCAATTTTAAAAAGCTGTTTAAAAAGCTGATATCAGAATATGTGCTGTCTTCTGTGTTTGAGGGAGTAGATTAGTTTGAGTGTACAGGCATAGCTCTGTCTGTCAGAGTGAGACAAAAAAACAGACTAAATATGAGTGTGCAGAGCAAAATACACACTCGGCTCCATCCACCAATAGCTTCCTATTGATTCTTATGCTTTAACTTATCTGCTAATTATGGCAACTGTTCTACACTGCCTGAAAGTACAGCCAGCTTAATCTGTGTTTTTTTGTAGAAATTTGGACAGGCTCATTTTATGTTTGCCCTCATGTGTTATACTGTTTTTATCCCAGACAACCACACTTCTAAAGAAGAAAATATCACATATGGGATAACTTTTGCAGTGTAAGAAACATTTCACCTACTTTATTTTTCTCAAATATATTATTGTTTATAATAGTGACATTCAATCTATCACCGTGGAGAGTACGAAAAGCTGTTGCATGAGCAGAAGTCTATTTGCATTAGAATGCACATAGAAATTAATACTATCTGTGTTATTCATCCCGTATATTTTAAAATGATATAAATTTATATATTATTAAGCCACACATACTTCTCACTTTGGAGATAACCATTCATTTCAAAGATGCAATGACTGTGTTAGTAATGACATAGCATTTCTTTCGTATGTGGAAGGAAAAAAACATTGTGGCTTCTACATATGTATAATTCTTACCCACATCAGTAATAAAATTATACAATTATAAATGGTGATATAGTGAGTTTATGCAAGTAAAATTAAGGCTAGGATATGATGCTCTTGATAATAATTTGCAACAGCGGTCTAATATTTTCATTTTATATGAAATTGACTATTATAGTGTTTTTCAACTATTAGTATAGGTGCTACATATAGCAATAGGCTGGAAAAAAGCACAAGATTTCCAATCTTAGATTGGAGTAGCCTGGAAAAAATCTGGGGCTTGGGAGTCAAAATAATGATTTACATTAATTAGCTATTTCTCTCTCTCTCTCTCTCTGCTTATTTTTTCTGTTTAGTTTGGATTTAAAATAAGATTATAACGACAGTGATAAGTAATGTTTCAGTGTTGCGACCCAGCTCCCCGAACACAACAAACCCTCTGTAGTTAAATTAATGATTCCTTTATTAGGAGCGCCAGCAGCCCCGGCAAAAAGTTTCCCTCTCACCAAAGGCTAACAAGTCTGTCCAGTAAGAAGATGAATAGTTGTCTGCCACATCTATTCATCTCCACCCCCTGCCTTTTATCCCCAGAGCTAGGGTGGGACTTCGCTAGCAGCAGTGGCTCTTCCATCCCAAGGCTCGGCCCACAGATATCTACGCTCTCCTCTTCTCTGCCTTCTGTGCATCCGCACAGGCACTGGACCCAGCTGTTGCTCCTCTTCTTCATCAGCCACCTCCAAACCTGGGGGCTGTTGACTCTCCATCTGAGGGATGATGGACGGCCCAAGCTCTGCCCCCCCCTCTCTCTCTGACAGTTCCATTCCCTCTTCCACCTTGGAGCTCTCAGGTTGCCTTGATGCTGACCCTGATTCCCATACCTCCACATCTGATTTGGCTGCTGGAGGAGCCGGCGGCTGACAGGCCACAACAGTCAAGCCCAGTGGTTGTTACTTGATATGTAACAAGATCAATAATATAGCTACAATTTTTATGGCCTTAAAAATTATCACAACAAATAATTTCATTTCTAAACATTTATATACTATATGTCAGACTACCATGATTCTCTATAGAATCACTGATAATTTATAATATAAAAAGTTGACTATTAACCCAAAAATAAGAAGAGAGTAGAAAACATACCTCTGATAAAAATGTCTGTGCAGACTTCTGTGCTCCTACATGGAGAAGATATTCATATACATATAGTGCTAACCTGGAAACAGAAGAAAACTTATTAAAATTCTAATTATTTAATAATTCCAAAATGAATAGATTATAATATATATTAAATAGAGAAAAATGCAGTAAAGATATTATTTTACATCCAAAATATTATATATGGACAAAAATCCTAGCACAGCTTAAAAAGCTTTTATACAAAAAGCAGAGTCTGTCAATATTTTATTATCTTGGACAAATCCCAATTGGAGAAATGTTCAGGTACTATTAATCTATATTTATCTACACAAGCTATGCTTACAGTAAACTATTTACCGTATCTGTAATTACACCAGCACAGAACATTGATAAATAAATTTTTAACCATGATGCCTTTTCAATTCTTACCACATTATTATTACAGTTGGTCGCATAGGCAGCCAGAAATTTAGTCTGGATGTGGTATTTTTATCCATCTATCAAGTCCTTCCAAGGATCCGGGATAGGCAGGTTTTGTTGTTTGATGGTGTTAAAGATATCATAGGATGATTTCACTTTTTGCATGTTTGCAATGAGTAAATAACTTTACCAGTAGTCCTGCTGGAACTACTAGCTTAGTCAAAAGCAGTATCTGTTTTATCAAGCATGTTATGAACAAGATGCCTGCCTGTTTGGATCTTAAAGGCCCATAAGGTATCAGCCTGCTCATTTTTTAATTCTCAATTTAGAGGTCCCAGTAGTTTTTACTACATTTGAATGCAGCCAGGAGAATGATCCTGATAGGGACTTTTTACTGGATACACAAAGAAGTTGAGGCTGTGTAAACAAAGGAAGAAATACAAAAGATAAATCAACTAAGACTTAGATAATGACTTTTAGCTGGATTTACAAAAGAGGTCTGTTAAAGCCGTGAAGAAATATTCATGAAAGAAAGGTAATATGTGAATGAGTTAAAGATCAAATTTGATAGAAGTAAAAGAAAGGAATATAAAGTTGGCTTCCTTGATCAAGGTTAAAATAAAATATGTTTTTATAAAGCTCTGGTAACTCTTTACATACTTTTTGTCAATTCTAGGATTGAAAAATCAATAGTGGTCGGTCAGTATGGTTTTACATATAGAAGAGCTGCGTTATAGGAAAAAGAAATATTTGTTTGTAATTTTTTACTTGTTCTGTTGAAAACTAGAAGTCACTTCTTTACTTTTTCTTTACATTTCTTCTTTTTCTATTTTTTATTAGTTTTTTGCACATTTTATTTTCTTTTTTGAGTTTAATCTGTATTTCTTTACTATTGCATTAAATCTTTAATAAAAAATTAAATTACAATACACATACATACATGTGTACGTAGGCGCGCGTGCTTGCACGTGTGTGCCTGCGCGTGCACATGCACACACATACACATACAAATATAAATATACACTTTTGAAGGAATGTCTACTTTGTTCTAAACTGCAGTTTACTTTATCAATAGAAATCAGGGAAATGTCATATTCATTAATAAATAATTATCAAACAAAAAAATTAGTGTGATACTATAACTATTTGATACGATATATATTTGACTTCTAGATGTTACATCTCTGTTAAATTCTAAGAACAGTGGAGAATTGCAGCTTACAACAAACCAAAAATGGAAGCTTATTAATACCTCCACATATATGAAGGACAGTGCATGATTCATTTTCCTTAAATAGCTGTTTTACAGAAGAAAATCAGTAACTGAAGCATTCCCAGTAGGCTGATAAAAGAAAAATATATCTGTTGGCTTATCATGGAATTGTTAATAATAAAAGTACCCTGCAATGAAAGCAAACTGGAAACTTAGTGGCTATTCCAATTTTATAAAAATTGACAAAATGTTTAACTACATAGAGTGAAATGAAATGTTATACTGAGTCAGGCATTTAGAATTTAGACAATGTAAATATAGCAACACTATAAACTTAAATTGGCTTCAATTTGTGGGATAAATACTGCAGGTAAACTGATCAATGTTATAAAGAGAGAATATGCATCAGCATTGTATAAATGGAATTTATAAAAGATAATATGCTTCAGCTGTCTATATCTTGGGAAGAACAGAAGAAATCTTCAGATTTAGAAGTTGGATGCTATTCTATATATCCAATCTTTCCTGCTAATTCATGACAATGTATAAAATATAATTGTAACTGATATAAATTTAAATTTCTTTCATTAGTAGCAATTTCATTCCATGGCTTCTTCATAATTATCAAAGATTGCCTATTTCTTTAAAATGACAACTCCTATCTAGCACAACAACAGTCCTCTGAACTAGAGGGTATTTTGTAGGTATGTTCACATGTCTCATTCTAATTTAAGGAAGAACTAAACGCTTTTCACACATTTAGTATTGGGACATGGGATATTTGGCCATTAGCAACTGCCAAAAGATAGATACTATTGGTAAATTGTAGCTTTTTTGGAATGCAACGTGTCAAAACATAAACCAAGATTTCTTACGTTACACACAATAAATAAAGTTCTATATAGAGAATAAAGAGAAGTAATAACCAAATAAGAGACATCCACATCTTTTTTTTCAAAAATGAATAACAACAAACTATTCTCTACAAAGCTACTATATTTTTCTCATTATTTACAGAAATTAGAATAATCTGGATGACAGTTGTATAACTAAAGTAATTGCATGAATCTTTTATAAGGATCCAAAATAATCTATTGCCTTTTTAAAAATCAGACAGTAATTAAAAGCAGTTAAGCAAATGTAACTTATAGCTGTACTACATGAGGGATTACTTCTATCTTTAAAGATTTCCCCTTGACAATGGAAATCAGGAAAAAAAATATACACAGAAGTCTTTTCCAAAGAGAACCATGATGAATGATAAAAAGCTGTTATCAGCACTAAATAAATAGAAGTAATAGTTTAAAATTTAGAATTTTTTTAAAATAGTAAAATAAACTAGCAGTATAAAGAACAAAGCAGAAGCCCTTAGCAAAATTTGACTTTCTTTGAAAAGAAAGCTTAATGGGATTTTATGCCGTTTTGTGGTATTTGTAATGATTTACAATAAGAAAAGACACTTTACAATATTTACCATAAAATTTACAATATTTTATTGTAAATGTAATTTGGAGTTAAATTTTTTTCCTTCTGGATAAGTAAAGATATTCTATAAACAGAGCTGCAATAATTCTGCTACAAATTTACTAATAACCCTTCATCTTGAAAGGTTGGGATCATTCACACTGGCCAAAGTAGTTTAAGAAGTATCCATCAATTTTTGAGCATTTACCAGTTCAAATATCTCTTAACAGATGTCTCCCATGTAATCTTAAACAGATTTAAGAAGGCATTATGCCCCTTTAAAACTATTGTCACAACTTCTTGTTAGAATAGTAGCATTGTAACAATATGGGTATTTCCCCTCCCCTGCCCTTGTGCTCAAGGTGCAGGTCCTGAAAGCTATAAAGAATTATAGAAAGGATTTCCTTGATCTGCCTGGAATTCAGGCTCTCTGCTCAACAGCCCTGAGAGAATTGAAATAATTAAGGTAAATTGGCAAGAAAAGTATAGGTGGAAGTATCAGAATGTTTTATTCTTTGTTGGTGCTGCTTAGATTCCCGTTTTCTGACCCTTTAGCTATACAAGATTTTTTGGGGGGAGGGGGGAGGTGTGCATCTCCTGAAATGACATCTTAAAAGTAAAGTACCCAGATAGAACTCTTGTCTGAGAAATACAACACCCCAATATTTCAGAAGTCAAGTAGAATGAATGGCAAGACCCCAGAAAAAGTTCTGGCTGGCTGATGTTAAAAGTTTCTAACTGATATAAGCAAAATTAACAGTAGTTATAAAAAAGATATGCAGTGTTAATAATTATGTTAAATAAGCACTTTAAAACATGGGAGAAATGATAAAGGATTAAAGTAGACAAGAATATAAGGTCATGCAATCAATTTTGCTATAAATGTTGTGAAACAATAGACTCATTATTTAGGAAAAGTTGTGATTTTGGCTGCTTAAACAGTTTCCTCTTAATATCCCAATGTCAACATGAGGAAAAAATAAATATGATAGTAAAATAAATATTAGAAAAAGGCAAGTTTTATTTTCACACTATCATTGTCCATTTTTAGTCATAAATTGAAGAATTTCACTGGAGGATCATATGTCTGTGAGAAAATGATTAAGAAAGGAATAGTGATCACCTTCACAGAAATAAACTTCCTTATCCAAAGGAGAAATTATACACTTAAGAATAACCAATGCATTCAATAATTTTAAATTTCTAATATAACTTATTATAAGAGGAAAGCAACTGTGTGGGAAATTAGAAAAACAATTCAAGTAAAAAACAAACAAACTGGCCAACTACATGATGCTAGTGAAAAACCCAACACATAAGCACAGTCAAAAAATAAGAACAATTAATAGAAGGATTGAAAGATTTATTTTTGTCTCCATACTAAAATGGACTCAAAGAAATCAAGATCTTGGCTCCTCAGTCATTCTCAGAATATATTTTGAAAAACTGAATCTTACATTAGGCTATAAAAATCCTTTACAAAGATGATAGACAGACTAATAAGGTAGGAGCCCTAATTATTATTAATTATGATTTATTTAGAAGCTATCTGTCTACAGGACAATTAAGGCTTTTCCATAGGATGTCATAAAGAAGAAAACAGAACAAGCCATCATCCTAGCAAACCCTAGCATCTGAATTCCTAAGGCTTTTTGTTTCGAGGCACATGGGCCGGATGTGTCAGATGCTGGCCCCACCCCCACCTGGTTTAGCGAAGGGGAAAAAAGTCCCGATGTGTCTTGTGACGCCGCCATGACGATGCAAGTTTGAAACCCCTGCTCTAGAGTTAAAATTTACATGTCCAAGTATGAAGGATTTTCTCACCATGACGATGCGAGTTTGACACCCCTGCTCTAGAGTTAAAATTTACATCTCCAAATATGAAGGATTTTACAGTATAAAAAAATGATGAGAGTGACAAAGAATATAGTAGTAATAGTGTTTGAGTATAGAATATCTTTTGACTGCTGTAATTAATG